GGCCAAGCCTAGCGGTTCCACTGGCACAGCTTGCTAAGCCTGAGGGGCTTCAAGCCGGCTCGAGTGTGTGATCTAACGTGTTGTGCAAATCAGCCTTTTCCACTGGCGTAGGGCTCAGTGCACCGCGCAAAGGGCTTTGTCTTTACTCAGTTCATGCAGGTTCAGCGGCTGGTGTGGCTATCCCCTTTCTTCCCTGCTAGGTATGTGCTGCTCCTCCTCACGCTCTTCTTTGTCCCGGGGCTGGTCATGATAGTGGCTTATGGACTGATTTCCTGTGAGCTCTACAGGGGCATCCAGTTTGAGATGGATCTCTCCCGTGAGGCCAAAGGTGCGTATAAGGTGAAGGAGGCTGGGGGCAAGGGCCCTTTGGAGTAATCTCTGCGTATCATGAGAAAGCAAGCTGAGGTCAAGGAGGCATTTTATTGGGGAAAGCAGCAGGAATTGCACAACTGGGTTTGAGGCAGATACTAGTTTAGTTGATCACGGGGATATAGTAGATGTAATATATCTTTACTTCAACAAATAGCTTCTCATTCTTGTAGACAAGTAACAAAAAATGTAAGGTCCAAGAGACCACTGTGAGGTAGATCCGTAGCTACCTGAAGAATTGCACCCAGCCAACACGCAGTCATTGTGTTCAGGTGGAAGGTCCCGGGCCCCGTCCCACTCGGCCTTTTTATAAACAGCTCAGATGACTCCATAAAGTGACGCTCATCAAATCTGGAGCTGCAGTGGGACCAAAGCTTAATAAAAGAAGGAATCAATATTTAAGCCATTCTTGGCAGGTTTAAATGCTGGACCAAAACCAAGAAGATAAAATTCAGCATAGATAAAGTGAATGCTTGCATTTAGGTTTAAGCAAAAAAAATAAAAATCAAAAGCACAACTGTAGGCTTGTCTTGGCAGCAGCAAGTGCCAAATGATTCTTAAGTGGGTCACAAATGGCGTGTCAATTGGTGGCATAGTGCAACAGTTTAAAACAGCTACGGAGGGTTAGGCTGCGTTAACAGAAATATGGGATTAGATAGCAATTTGTGCTGCCTTGAGGGTGAGGAAGTGTTCAGCGACCCTCCAGGGAAAGAGGGAGAGCGAACAGGCTGGTGTATGCACACCCACAGCTTGAATTTCTGCCCCACCCTGAAGCCAAGGGGAGCAACAAGAAGAAAAATGGCGGCGGGGGGTCACTGTGCATAAGGCAGAAGAATCCAGTCGGTCTGTGGCTCCCGTCTGGACTGCAGCCGATGAAACATTCTGGGTGGCCTTGCTGTCCTGGAGCATCCTGCCTCCCGCGACTCTGCCCCTCGTGGCATTGCAGGCGAGAGAGAGAGAGGGCAATGCTCAGGGAACTGCTCACTGGGTGCCTCTAGCTCCCCCCACCTAGAGACCACCTGTTTGGGCCCCATTTCTGGAGCATCCCCAAACAGAATCACTGGGGCTGCCGGCTAGGAAACCAGTGGGGCACTGAACAATGAGGAGCTGCATTCTGCTTGCCCAACCGCCACGGCACCCTGGAGCCCCCTGAAGCCTCTGCCAGGGCCGGGCATCCTCACAAGGCGCTTCTGAGGTGTGTCTTTGCCTCCCTCAGCTCAGCAGAACGGGGTCACGGAGCTCCTGGCCCCTTGTGATGAAGGCGACGGCTGCTACGTCCAGGTGCCGCAGCCCACAGGGAGCGCGATGGAGCTGCCGGCCTTGACCCCAGAGGACGGCGCCAAGCAGGAGCGGGCCCGCATCAACAGCTCAGAGGCCAAGCTCCTGGCCAAGAAGCGGGTCATCCGGATGCTGGTGGTGATCGTGGCGCTGTTCTTTGTGTGCTGGCTGCCCATCTACGTGGCCAATACCTGGCGGGCCTTCGACCCCATGACCGCCCACCGCGCCCTCTCCGGGACCCCCATCTCCTTCATCCACCTCCTCTGCTACTCCTCCACCTGCGTCAACCCCTTCATCTACTGCTTCATGAACAAGCGCTTCCGGAAGGCCTTCGCCAGCACCTTTGCCTGCTGTGCCATGCCCTGCTGGCACCGGCGCCATCACCCCCCCGAGGAGGAGGCCACTGCCACTGGGGCCTCCTTCTCCAAGTTCAGCTACACCACAGTCAGCAGCATGGCCCCCCCCGAGCACTGAGGCGCTCCTGCCCATCACCGATGCCCAGCGTGCCCCCAAATTCATTATCTGGGGACCCCAAGGCCTTTTCTCTCCTCCCTTCCCCACACTGGGGCTCCCCCTGCCTTCCCCCTGCCCCTTGCTGCCCCTTCAGGCCAAGAAGGAGATTTCTTGTGCCCAAAAGCCTGGAAGAGAGCAGCTCTGTTGAAAGGTGGGGGGGGCAAAGCTGTCTTCTTGCCCACCCCCCTTTGCAAGGCCAGAAAAGAGACCGTCAGCCTGGAGGCCTTTGGCCCCCTCCCAGCTACAAATGTCCCTCCTCTTCCCTGGGCCAAATGGGACCCCCTCCCCGCTCCGAACGCCTTAATTGCTGCAATGCAAAGTCCCTTTTCTCCACCTGCTCTGGATGAAAAGTGGCTGAAAAGCAACTGATGGGAGGAGGGGGCGTAAAATTGGGGACGGGACGTGTGCGGTGCAGCCCCGAGGGGGTCAGGCTCCAGCAAAGCCTCAGTGCTGCCTGAGGTCAAGAGGTGACGCTGACTCAGCCGTGACTCAGCAGCCCCATTGCTGCTGGCTTGCCTTGCAGGGCTGTGGCAAGTCCAGGTGCCGAGTGGCCGAGCTCAGTCTTGCCCCAGGAACGGCCCAGTCCCCGGAGGCCTCCTTCCCTCTGACGCCTGCGGAGAAAGGCTGTTTCCGTC